TTCCCCTAGGCAAGAAGCAGTCAAGCTTTGAAGCTGCAAGGCTTTGCAGTGCTAATCAAGATAGCCAATTGCAACATTCACACTTGCCTCCAACAAACAAGAGTTCTTTTTTCCACCTTGGACCTTCCACGGATATATATACCCAATTTTTCCTAGCTTCCAACAGACCTCACAACCTCTGAGGATGCCTGCCATAGATGTGGGTGAAACGTCAGGAGAGAATGCTTCTGGAACATGGCCATATAACCTGGGAAACTCACAGTAACCCAATAATAATAATGATAATAATAATAATAATAATAATAATAATAATAATAATAATTTGGACTTACAGTTTAAATAAGACAAGTATGGAGATGGCATCAGCAGAGGGGAATTAATTCCAGCAGATTCTGGCTTCTCTTCTCTCCCTCAGAGAACAGAGCAATGAATACAAACTTAACTTAAAAGCACTTTCATACAAAGCACAGTGTTTTGTGAAAAATATGATTTTTTTTATGTGCAGTACCAAGTTGTGTTGTAAATCAGTGAGACTGTATGCTCAAGCTCTGATCAAAACAGACCGAACCATTACAAATCTCACAGTGTTAGGCAGAAGGGTGTCTCCACAGGCCAAGGCATGCTTTCTCCATAAGGAGGAGAAAAACTAAGCATCTCTGGTTCAGAGACTGTAAGCCATATGTTTAGATGAGGGGCAAGAGACAACTCCAAAACATGAAATAGGAATCATTACAATAAAGTGTCTAAACTGATTGGTGTGGTTTTCTTTCATACAGGGAGAGGAAGCGATTCGGAATCTGATTTGCCACATCGAAAGTTGCCAGATGTGAAAAAAGACGATATGTCTGCAAGGCGGACATCCTACGGTGAACCCAAATCAGTTGTGCCTTTTAACCAATACCTCCCCAATAAAAATAACCAGACTGCCTATATTCCGGCTCCTCTCAGGAAGAAGAAAGCAGAACGTGAGGAGTTCAGGAAAAGCTGGAGTACTGCTACTTCACCTCTAGGAGAGAGACCTTTCAGGTAAGGTCTTGGCAATGGTCTGAATGTACCATATCCTATCCTATGCCCACAGGCAACAAAAATCTCTCTCATTCATAGGTACCCAGTACATGATTTGGTCTTGCCTCTTGTTTACTTGACTATTTGTTAGGCAACACTTGCATGATGTGATGTTTTCCTTGGAATGTTATGGAAACATAGCTATTCTTGGCTTATGGAATCCAAGAATTTTTCAGTTAGCCTTTCTGTACATGTATGGTGATTTAATATGTTTTAATTTTAATGAAATCATTTTATTTTACGTCACTACAGTGCAACATATCTGAAACCAGAGAGCTGGTTTTAATACTCTAAAACTCTGTGGATGTCGCTATTTCCTCATGTGCACTCTTTGTGTTCTCACATTTCTCCATACATATATGGACAGTCCCCAAGTTACAAATGTCTGACTTGCATACGACTCCTTGTTAAGAACGGGGTTGAGACAACAGGAGGTGAGAGAAATCAACCCCTCGGAAGGGAAATTCACTCTTGAAAGTGTTATCGTGGCAAAAAAGTGTCCCAACTGAAGCTTTACTATCAATTCTTGCTTCCACAACAAGCCATTTTTTTCAAAATCCAATTAGACAGAAAATGAGGCGACTTACAAAAAAAAAACAAGTTAAGAACAAACCTACAGACCCTTTCTTGTTCGTAACTTGGGGACTTGCTGCACTGTATTTCTTCCATTCTAAAATATATTTTTTTCCTTTCTAAACATCTCTAAAAATGGGATGCGTCTTAAAATTGCAGGTGTCTCTTATGTATTTTTGCTGTTGTTGGTGATACTGTAATTAGGATGTGTTTTACAATCAATGGGGTCTTACAATTTGAGAACTAGAGGATAGTAGAAGAACAGCTAGAGTAACTCAACACCTGTGTCCAGAAGGTTTGCAGTACAAGGCTTTCAGGAACACAACAGAAAGGATGGGACAATATGCACACCATCACTTTCCTTCCTATTGGACCTTGAATTGCATAAAAGAGGAAGAGGGAATAGGATGTGTCTATCCACAAGGACATGGAGACTTTGTGATTATTTGAAATACATTGAGGCCATGTGTTTGTTAAGGTGGTTTGAATTGTTTTAAGTACTTTAATATCAGTGTGGTTAATAGGCTTGGTTGATTTAAAAAGATGGTTCAAAACCCGTTTCGGATGTAGGGGGCGATGGTGGTTCAATTTGGAATTGAATTCTGAATTTTTCCCAATTTTTTTTCGGAACTTTCTGAAATTTCCAAATCGCTTCGTTAATGGCGAAAACAATTGTGCAATACACAAAAAACAGCATAGGCATGAAAGTATGGGATTTCTCACAGCAAACAAAGAAAAAGAGAAACTGCTCTGAGAGCTTTATGGGCCTCTTGAGCAGGTTTCACCAGTTAGGGAATTATAGGCAGGAAAGTATGGGATTTCTAGTGTCTTCTTCGGCAACTCACGGCAAACAAAGAAAAAAAGAAACAGCCCTGCCCTTTTTGCCTTGGAAGCTGATTTCACTACTTTGGGAAGGAGACTTTGTGTTCAAAGAACAGCTTGAATTGATGGGAGATCTAGTTCTTTTGAGACAATGTGCAATACAAATTTAAAAACACTGAGGTCAGAGAGACCAGCTACAATGATGGCTTTTAAAAATGTTGGAGTGAGTGCTTTGATTCCTCTGTGTTGCTCCCACCCACGCCACTCACCCACACACACACTACCCTCACGGTGCCCACCCGACCCAAACCCCAACAGCAACAACACACAAGCGGTGGCAAGGCAGCCTGTGCCCGCTGCCAAGTTAGCCAGGCAGGCAGGCAGCCAAGCACGGCAACAGTCCTTCTCCCAGCCCTTCTTCCTTGCCCGCTGTACTTTTCTTCCAACCTCTCTTCCCTTAATCTTAGTCTTTCCTTTTCCCCTTCTCCCTTCCCTTCCCGGCTCCGAATGAGCCTCTGAGCCATGTGCTCCCCTTTATATACAGCAATGGCGGCCAGTGCCGAAACCCCTCCCCTCCCCAAAACTTCTCCCCTGATTGGCTGGGAGGGGACGCAAGGAGCCTCTCAGCAGGCTAGAGGGCTGAAAATACACTGAATTGTTTCCGACTCACTTCCTGAGTCATAACAAAAATGGCGGAGAACGTTTTGGAAGGGCAAAGGGACTTCCGGGTTTTTAAAATGCTTCGAAATCATTTCAAAAAGGTAATTTTAACTAAATTATTATGAGTAACGAGTAATCCAACGCAGCTCTATCCATGCCTAGTTGTTAAATCAAAGTAAAATGAATTGTATCCAAATTATGTTGAATTAATTTCCCATTGAATTTACTGATTCTAATGGGATCTAATGTTAACCAAATCTGATGTGTTCACAATCTGAGTGCAACCTCATTGAGTCCACATCTGTACATCAAAGTAGTGGGAGTTCTCTTCTCCTTTACTACATGCCATTTCAACAACCTCAATTAATTTGATGCTAGAGTTACTGATCTGCTCTGCATGGTGAGAAGTAACAGCAACTCAAGAAATGTGTTGTATAATCATTTGCTCTATATAACATAATAGCAAAACCCATCCTGAAACCATAGAAGAAGAGCAAAGCGAGGTACTGGTACAATCTGAAGAGGATCTGGGCTGCACCATTTCCACTGCTGTTCCCTTGGTTGAGCCAGTTCAGGCAGACATAAGCCAACAAGACCCCTTACGTCAGTCTCCTACACATTCTGCAAACAAAACAGCAGGGCCCAGAAATAACGAAAAGGATCCTGAGGAGCTCAAAAAGCTAAGAAGGCTTGAAGAGGCTGGTATTAAAATCATGCCAGCAGCACAGCGCTATGGAAGCAGGTTAGCTCCATGCCACGGGACTTGGTGTGTGTATGCATCAAGCTTTGAGCACTCGTTGTGCTTTGTGGTACTTTTCAGTTTGCTGTAACCCTCTAACCACTTTTTGAAAATCCTAATAAATATAATTTGCTGTCCCCAGTTTTGTTACATTAGAAAAAAGATTTTGCAATCGAAGGGGTGGTGTTCAATGCATTAGCCTGGCGTTCAATGCATTTGTTGCAAAAGAATATACACTGGTGTTTTTCTTGGCTAAAAAAAATGTGATTGCTTGACAATCTCTAAATCGCTAGGTTTTTTGGGGTGACTGGACTGTGCTTGCATTTGTGTTAAATAGATCTGTTGCATGTAGTTGTATTAACTAATTTAAACACAGATTGTGAAAATACACTGCCCAACCATGCAACAAACATTGCGATTTGGAAGAAAAAGGTGGACACACATTTGGGATTTAAAAATTTCCCACACTCTTAGTGATTTAATCCATTAACGAAAAAGCAATTCGGATTTATAAGATATGGGATTTTGCTTAAGGAATTGAGCTGGTTATGCTTGTCATGATGAAGCCGAGAATCTGACTGCAAAGTTAGAGATAGAACGTTCCTCATGTCAAAGAGGCAAGGCCAGTGTTTCTTAAACTTACTGATCTGGATAGCTGGCAGTATTTTCCAGTGCACTATAGACTATATTTGTGCCATATTACTGTAATATTCACATTGTTTCTTGGAAACTGCCCAAAGGAAATAATGGTTTGCAAACCAACAGCTGTCTGTAGATCACAGAAGTAACACAGAACTAGGCAACATGGGGCAAGGTGTCATATAGGAGTGCCTTGCTTTCACTGTTAGATAGATCCTGATCATTGATGTCATGATCATCCTGAGATCTCCACATTCCTTTTTCTCACAATAGGAAGTGTGACTATCATAGTTTCCATCTTAAATCCCATGAGGCTGTTGTTTCAGATGGTATCATAGTAGATTAAATCAGCTAATCCTCCTACTCTGTAATATAATTTCATTTTACTATTCTCCCAGCTCTGGTTAGAGAATGAGGATGGGTGTTAGTACTCACATGCCTCCATCTATTGATGTTCATAATTCCCTGGAAGATTCTTACTTACTTACTTACTTAGGCGATCCTTCATTGTCTGAGTATGATGGCCTCCCAAGTGCAGTGTCTTGGCGGTGGATACGTAGGTGACTGTGAAGCCCTATTCTTAACCCGCATGTTCTTCCACAGTGAGGACATCGGTTTCCAAGTAGAAGGCGGTCCCTGTCAGGGTTGGCTTGACATGCCTTCCTCTTGGCAGATTTCTCCCTTTCACCCTCTATTTGTGTCTCTTCAAATTCCACAACACTGCAGGTCACAGTTGACCTCCATCTAGAGTGCTCAATGGCCAGGGCTTTCCAGTTCTTGGTGTCTATGCCACAATTCTTAAGATTAGTTTTAAGCCCATCTTTAAATCTCTTTTCCTGTCCACCAACATTCCATTTTCCATTCTTGAGTTGGAAGTATAGTAGCTGCTTTGGGAGACCGTGATCGGGCATTTGGACTATGTGGCCAGTCCAGCGGAGTTGATGGCGTAGGAGCATCACTTCAATGCTGGTGGTCTTTGTTTTTTTCCAGCACACTGGAGATTCTACTTTGCATCTAAATCAACAGATAGAAGTGGGGATTATTATTATTATTATTATTATTATTATTATTATTATTATTATCATGGTTGATCTATATATTATGCTATCATACATACGCTCCCCCTCTTCTCTGCAACAGACACATACTCCAAACCAAACTTCATTTAGCTCGAAGAGAGACCGTTCTCAACTCAGATTTAGTTCCAATAGTAGAGTGTTGGCCAACTTCAGCAAATATTTGAAATCATGTATAGCTTACCCGTGTCAAGAGTGTAATGGAGAAGCAATTTATATTCTTTCATGCAAATGAGAATATACAAATAGAGGAGTGGTATAAAGAAGCATGGAAAATAGCAATAAACGATAAATTGACATGTATATTAAAGGTTAAAAAAGGTATATGGAAACAAAGCGATTTTGATGCTGTATGGGGAAGATTTGTGGTAAATGGATTAAAAAATAAGGAAGGAAAATTACCGTCACAAGAAGAAATGAAATTTTGGACAGATGAAATGTAAGAAGGGTGGCTTGAAATGGGTGGAGGGGAGCACTGTGGTGAAAAAAGGGGGAAAAAAATGAGAAAAAGGGGGAGAAATGTCAGAGTAAAATAATAAAATAACATGTTAAAGAGGTTGATGTACAAAATGTAATAGTATGTAATAAAGTGATAAATTAATAAAAAAATAAATAAATAAAAAAAAAAAGCAAATGAGAATGGCAATTTAACTTGGCTTTGTAATTTAAAGATCATATTATTCATGCCACTAAACTGTGTTCTAGAACTTTAATTTGGACTAGCCCTTTAATTGGGACTAGCTTTGATGCCACCTGGCATTTGTCCTGTAACAAAATTTTGAAACGTAAATTCAGAAAACAAGAGTTTAAGTTTCACTTACAGTTAGTGTATGAGGATTGTGGATCTGCATTCGGTCCCCAAGCTTTTGGAACAATTGCAATAGGAAAGATATGCATATCACATTTTATATATGAAGTGTAGAAGGAAGCAAGTGTTGCTCACACTTCCTCTGCTTAGTTGTCATGTGTTAAGTTAATCTCAGGTGACTTCTATAAAGGTTTCTTACTTTTTAGGCAGCACTGTAGGCAGTAAAATAAAACTTCTTCATCAGGAATATACATTACAACTCAACAAATAACCAAGGCAATGGGGTGTTTCAATGACATGATCTGTTAGGCTTAGATATAAAGCTTGGGTGAGAAAACAGTATTGTCCATTTTGTCAGTCTTGGTTATTTTATGATCCATGACATTGTTTAGACTCTAGAAGAAAAACAGTGAGTTCACATTTGGGTTCCTGAGTTCATTATTTTTTGGCCAGCAGTGTTACATTGGGCACAATATGTT